TATTAATTATTATTAATTATTAATATTACACAGTTCACGCAGTTTTTAGGCATCTCTGTTAGGGTTTTCTAATTTTATTTTAAAAGGCACAAAATATAGCTCTTAGTTGAATGTTGACAGGTATGCTTTAACTTTTTCTGTGTCTTTCTACAACTGTGTTCTGTGACTCAACTGTATAGTGTTAATATCAGTACAGACTTGTCTAGTTGACCGTATAAATAATGTTTTCCCTTCTCGTAGTCTCTATGGCGTGTCTTTATGGAGAAATAAGGTTCTCACGGGTTCGGTTCCCTTTGCGTTTAGAGAGACCAGGTTCAGGCAATGATATATATTTTTGTTATCAGTTGCATGTCGTCTCATTTCTTCCCTACCTGTTGGAATATGTTTGTGAGCATAATCGTCATAAATTATGTTCAGGATTTTCAGATTTATTTATATGTGGTTAAAATGAATGCTTCTATTTAAAAGGGGAAATATTTCTACATGTGCATATAGTTTTCCAAGAGTGTACCATTAATTAATTGTTGATAATAAAAACCAAAAGCAAATATAGCACCCTAGCTCTTTTGATTTATTTTTAGCTTTTTGGGGGGCGGAAGGGGCTCGTTTCTTTTTAGCAAAGATTGAACGCGCACATCGCAGAATCTGGATTGAGTCATCAAAATGAGATGGGATCAGCAGCATTATTTTTAATCTGCGTTAATACCAGGAAGATCATAACTGCGGATCCTATCATTTCTGCTTAATTACGCCGTTACTCGCAACAGGCTGATTTGGGGCGGGGGAGGAGGGCGGAAGATATGCCAGATCTGACCTTTTGCAGCTACTTCGAAAGTCGGAAATGGCCAATTTTAAGGCCAATCCGTTAAAAGAAAAAAGGGGGCATAAACTACAAATCTGTTTTTTCAGCGGAGACACCGTTCCAGCAATTAGACGGAAATCTTTGGCCGGCCATTACGCCAGCACGCCATAGGTAACATTTGCGTTAAAAGTCTTCTGCTCTTCGGAAGCAGCCTGTTCTTCTGGGTAAACCATCCGCACCGACGTGCAGCACAGGGCGGCGGAAAGACTCCGCGGAGTAACGCGGCCGCGGACTGAGTTTCCGCCCAGGCCAGAAGCCGTCCAGCGGCCTCACACCAAGGGGAGCCCGCTTTGCTCGCGCTGCCCGTCGCGGGAGGGAGCGGCCCCGGCCCGGGCTCCGCGCAGCCCCGGCGCGCTGGATCCCCGGGTGGCCTGTGCCGGGGCACAAACCCCGCCAAACCCGGCGGCCCCCACCCGAGCCGGCTCTGCCGAGGAGCCTCTGGACCGCCCTGGCAAGGACAGGCTGCACCAGAGCCCAGAGTGGGACCCCCGACGGGCGCCTCCGGGGCCGCGAACTCCGCCTGACTCCCAAAATGTCAATGAAAAAAAAAAAAGGCTAACTGGCTAGCGTGGGATTTGGCTCAGAAGTGAATATGGCAACAGCTTTCCTCAGCACCGCCAAAGCGTTTGGGGAGAGTGCCACAGCCAAGAACACGTTTAAAAGAGTCAGTAAAACCGGACAAGTGATGTTCTCGCTAAAGAAAATATTTCAATAATTAGCTTTAAAATGCTGTAGTGAAATATGCAGTACATTTTCACAGGGGAATCTGTGAAACTACGTATTTCTTGAATATATATTTGTTTGTTATAATGGAGGTAGCTTTTCCCATTTTACTTCTTCCAAAGAGCTAAGAATATTTTCGTTCAAAATAAGTATGCTATCTCTAAACAGTATCTATCCAGCTCTAGACTGAAGTATAGCTCTGGTAAAAGTGAATTATACGGGAAGAGTTCCCTGATGGAGAGGCTGCAGTGCACAGTCCATCTGCTTTACAACAGCTGGACTGACACCTGAGCTTTTAGAGAAGGCAAGACCTGTAAAACTAGTGAACCAATCCACCAAGAAAGCTTTAAACATACCACTCCTTGTCAGGCCTTGCAGTGTAAAGATTATCAGCTTCCATTTCATGGGAAGCTTCAGGAGCCACCTTGCATGCTGAGGAGTATTTATCCATATAACCTAATCAGGCTACTTCCTCATGATTTTACAGAGTAGGAAGGAAACCTCCTCGGATCATGTTGCCTGACTTCCGGTATATCTCAAGCCACTCACTTTCAAGGGTTACTTGGCCCAGTAAATTGCTCCCATGTGACCTAGCGCACATCTTCCAGAAAGGCATACAGTCATTATTTGAAACCATTAAGTGATGGCTAAAGCTTTTTTTTTTTTGGGGGGGGGGATACTTTTTGCCAACAGTTTGTTACTTTATCTGCTCAAACTTAGGTGTCATTTCTAATATGAAGCTTCCAGCTTCCAAGCAACGGATCTAGCTATATGTTTGCCTGCTGGACTGGGGACATTTTAGTAGCCAGTATTTTCTCTGTCTTAATTTTACTACACTATAAACTGATTTGCATGTCAGCCTTCTTTCTGATAAACTAAATAGGCTGCTACCTTTAAGTCTCCCACACTCCTTAAGGCTCTCACTTTATGAAGCTCTTTCAGAGCTGGAACCACTCTCTCCTGTTGGTCTGGACTCTTTGCAAAATGGATATTCCACAGATGGTCACAAGGTACAGGTTATTCTCTTTTTTTTTTTTTTTTGTACCTAAATAGCCTGACATAGTAGTCCAGAACAATCTTCTCAAAGTAGTGCTGCTAGGACAACTCAAAACTCCAGGGCTTGTATTGATTTCTTATATCAAACTATTTCTTGAAAAGGCTATCAGTAATACTCGTGTTGCACTATTTTAACAACTGTTGCCCAAACAGATAAGCTCCGAAAATGGGTCAATTCAGGAAACTCCATAGGTAATGCTGCAAATGAAATGGAGGCCACCATTTCTAGGACTCAAACATCTGATGAATCCCCTCTCTTTTTAATTCCAAAGTTACTTACTTTCTTTACAAAATGTCTCTTCATTTTTAGTAACAAAGTCCTCTTACACCTGGAAGAAGGAGTGGTAAAATTAAGCCTGTAGCTGCTGTAACCGCATACGATTGTAACACGTTATGTGAGACCCTGTTTTAGAAGGGTAGCATTTCAAACACACAGATGTACTTACCACTGAGAACATCTCTGTGGAGACAAAAATTAGATAAACCTAGTGTGATTATTTTTGTCTTGCCCCAGAAAAAGATGATTCACTAGAGGAACACTTAACTCCTATTGTTTCCTACTGGAAACATAGCACTACTGAAACATTTTTGTGCTAATTCACTGAGCACCGGTCTGGTGGAATTCACAGAAAGTTGACAGGAATGACAAAAGACGTAGATCGTTCAAGAAAGATGAAGAAGAAAAGTATTTACATTAACAAAGGGGGTGTGCAGTAGTGTATAAGACTACATATTTATGTATGCAAAAATACTGATTAGGTATATTGATTACTGACCTGGATTAGGTACTTCTACTTTTTACCTGTTTAACCTCACCTCTCATCATGTCGATGCATCACTCAAGCTGTCTCCTAACATTGGTGCATCTCTCTAGTGAGGCTCAGGGCCTTGCAGTTCAGCTACCTGCTAGTAGCTAGCTAGCTCATCAATTTTATTTTGAGAGGGATTTTGGTTCAATAACATATTTACACAAGTCCTGGAATGAGATGGCAAAAGCATGTGCAAAGCATCTCCTTTTTCTGGGAATCCCAGTGCAGCTCTGAGTGTGGCTCCCGAGGAGCAGTTCTGCTTTGGGAGTACCTTCTAGGTGCTGACACCGAAAGCAAGCTCCTGTCCTTCTTGCACAGCTCTTTTTTCCCTTCGGAGCTGCCTTTGACCAGCACCTTGTGACCTTGTGCAATCAGGTGTATGGGATGTTTTCCCAAGAGTCATGACTTGCTTTCCGGCTTTTGAGAAAAAAGAATGTGCAGGATAACATGTAACAGCCTGATCATTTGATTCCTGCCTTAGCATACACTGCATTAAGAATCAGTAGAAGGAGGTACTTCCAGCCTCTCAGACAATCGCACTGTAGATTCATTGCCTCAAGATTTTATTGAGATCAAGATTTTAGCCAGCTGCTGCAAAGAATTAGACTCATCTGTAAGAAAATCCAGCTAGTACAGTCGGGTTAACAAAAAATTCTGAATGGAACATAAAACCACGCTTTTCAGGTTTTAAAGCTAATATCTGCTTATTTAGGATGAGACCTTGAACAAATGTTTTCTTCCTGAAAGATATCTTGCATGTTCTTTGAAATCATCTGCTATTGCTCAATTCCAGAAATTGGTTTACAAACTACAGATTACAAACTGTAGCCTGCGCTCCACTTCCTATATTTGTATATTCCAATAGCACATTAAAAAGTATCCTCACAAATTTGCCTCACTGACATTTTTGCATTGTCTTCTTTACCATATTTGATGGTCCCTATTATATTCAGAGGCTCAGTTTCAATTCTGGACTAAGTATGCTGCGCAGCCGAAGTCAAATACTTGTATCCAAAAAAGTCATTTATTTTTCCAGTTCATTATTACTGATTAATTTCATTGATCAGTACTTTCACTGGTATGTACCACTAATGCATACAAATGTAAATGTGAAAATGAATTACTCTTAATTATTTCCTTTCAGAGATCATGAAATATAACTTTTCTTGAGATTTTGGGATGTATACATAAATTTGTGGAAAGATTTGTCTTTGAAACTGCCTACAATCATTTATACAAAAATTCATAAGCTTGAAGAACTTTTGCAAAATACCTACACGTAATGAAAAGTAAAAAATTTAAACACTTGAAAACTAAACATATTAAAAAACTTATAATTTCCAAACACAGCTACATATGAGTTCTGAACAAAAAGAGGTTTCTCTAAACGATGAAAAATATTTATGATACAACAGATGATTCAATTATATAATTGCATATCATAGTTCTCAGTGATTTATAAAAGGCAAAATTCAAATACGCCGTACAATAAATTATCGTTAAGAAGGGATTATAGTTTGGCCTAATAGAATCCCATTATTTAGAAATGGAAAAAGAAACCCTATTAGATTATATGGTTAATTCTCTGCCAGTGCTGAGGTCACTATACTTTCCCTTTCAGGCTTGTCTGCATGAAAATTGTTGGTGCAGTTGAACAGCCTTCTTCTGCAGATAGAGTTAGAAAAATATAAGAAGAGCTTTCTATTGACCTAACTTCTCCCATAAAAGAATGAAAGGAATTATATTGGATAAATTACTTTAAAATACAATTTTAAAGAAGAAGAACTTCAGATTCAGGTCTGGGGGGGGTTGCCATTGCCAGTAGGTGAGGTTTAAAAACCAAATGAACCAAACACACAAATAGTGTGCTCTGAAATTAAACTACTCCCAATACAAAACAATCACTATGGCAAGCTCCTTAACCTTTAAAAATATAGTGAGAAGACTCTGGCGATGTGTTTAAACACAGACGAATTCTTTGGGCATACAGCTATTAAGAAGTTTCAGCTAATACTGATTTCAGTGTGATCTAATTAATGCAACATTTCTGAGAGCAAAACCATAGCTCAGAAGCCAGTTAGTCTGTATTGCACCTGAAATGCCATGTGGGGAGAGAAAAGCTCCCCACATGTAAGAGACAGCTGTTTCGTTGGAGTAACAGGGAAGAAAGATGGACCAGATTCATGGAAAAGTCTCCAATAAAAGGACACCTATTGTGGGCAGAACGGGTAACAGACTCATAAAGACTCTCGTCTCCCAACCCTTGGGCAGATCTGAAGAGAACGCTTGCTGCTATACCTGTCTCAAGGGCTGCATCCTCCCACTGAAACTAGTGTTGAATGAAACCTCTCAATAGCCTCTGACGATCGGCCCCAAAAGCTCACCTGTGTATTTCCTTTTATATTTCCTAGGACTTGTC